AGCACTGTTCTGCTACATCATGCTACACACCTTCCCAGGGACGCAGGGAAATAGAAGCAGGGTTGGTGTACAGCCGTCCCTAAGGATTCCCAGGGCATTGGCTGCAGAAGCCCCTCCCCTGCCAGCAGGTACCAAACCTGAACATGCTTCTATCAATCCTTTATGTAAAATGGTATGGTCTTTGCATATGACCTACAAATGCCCCAGCATAATTTAAATCATTTCTAGATTACTTATAATACTTAATATAGGGTCAATGTTGTACAAATAGTCATTACACTGTACAGTTTAGGGAATAATGGACAAGTTCAGTACAGATGCAGCTTTTTTTTCCAGGATATTTTCTGTTTGAAATCAGATGAGGCCGTGGCTGCAGAACTCCTGGATAGAGACTGCCCATTGCATGGGCCTTTCAAATGTTTGTGAGCTCCACCAAGCCCCTGGCTTCATTGCTCTCTGTTGAGGGACATTGTTTTTCAGTACTGAGGCCTGAACCCAAGGCCTTTAACTGAGCTGCATCTCCAGTCCATTTGTTATTTTTAAATTTGAAGCTGGGTCTTGTTAAGTTTCTAATTGCATGTACTGGACTTGTACTTCTGAGTCTCCTGCCTCAGTCTCCCCAGTTTGGGTGTTACTGGCCTGCACAGCCAGGCCAACCTTCTGTTGAAGGATTTTAATAGTTTGTGCTGCAAAACTCTCCCACACCTGCAACTGAAGAGTTCTGTCTTGTGAAGCTAAGCCAGAGGGGACCTTGCTCAAAGCACTGGGCCAGTATTCCGTGCGAGGTTGGCAAGTACATTGAACGAGACACCAAGCCCTTTGCTAGAAGATTGGAAACAAGAAGAGGCAGGCAGTCCTTAAACATTTTAATTACCTGCTTCCTGAACAATAAAAGGGGAATCAGACCTTCCTCCTGCAATTGCACATCATTACATTCCCATAAAGAACCTGAACTACTCGTACCTCATGATGTAAGCCATAGGCTTTTCCTTTCATCTGTGTTCAAGTTCCAACAATCTGGTTTTAGAAGAGTACGAACAGCTTTCCTCTGAAGGTATGAGATGCAAATATTGGAACCAAAGGATATTTAAACCCTTTTGCTTTCTTGAAAGATTTTTTAGGGGCTTTAAGATGCCTCCTGGAAAGGAGCACTAAGGATATTATAGCATCCTGGACAGGATCATGGGACCAAATGGGGATACAAGGTAAAAATCTGAAGAAATCTAAATAATATTCAAACTTTATAATAATATTGTATTATGTTGCTTTGTTAATTGTGACTAATGTACTATTTTAATGTAAGATGTTTACTCTATATGAGACCTCTCTTCACATTTTTCTGTACATCAAAAAATATTCAAAAATAAGTTTATTTAAAAGAATGCTTCCTGATCTTACTGGTGACTCAGTAGATTAATTCTGTGGCAGCTGCAGTGCCAGTGAAAAACCTGGGCATCATAATTAGAGCTAACTCAGGTGCCCATGAAATGGTGCATACTCCAGTCCAAATGAATTCCTTGGACCTTTAACTGTGGAGAAATTCTAGTTGCTTTACCATGCACATGGGAAATAATCTTTTTAGGGGAAATATGTACATTAGCCTAGGAAAGGGGAGGCATCAAGGAATATTTTAGGAATGAGGTGTGTGTGTGTGTGTGTGTGTGTGTGTTTTCTATGGGCTCCACTGTGCTTTCTTATTTTCCACCGGGACTTGTTTCCTCTCTGTACTGTTTATGTGATTTCCTGGGTCTGGGGATGGTTCATATTTTCCTCCTACTAAGAAGACACCTCCATCTCCCAAACTATCTTCAAATCTCACCTCTTTTGTGAAACCTTATTTCTTGTCATTGCCCACTTCCTTCACGAATGAAAGAATCCTGCTTTCCTGCTTTTCTTGCTACTGCTGCGGCCCCTCCTCCTCTTTGGCTACATCTCATCTTCCTGTCCTGTCACCATTTGTGCCCACAGCTTGGATTCTGGCTCTCTACTCTTCCTTCATCCTTTCCCTTGGAGACTGAACAAAACATTACCCGAGATGTGTCTCTACCTTCTAGCTCAGTGATGGCAAACCTCTTAGAGCTTTCAACAATACGAAGAGCCCGCTGCAACATACGTGCTATAGGTCCACCACCACTGTCCTCACCTCTTCCTTGGGCTTCAGGCACTTATGTTCTTTCTGAGTGGCTAATGCAAATCTGTCAGATATTCACCTCTTGTCTCCCAAGAAAGCTCAGATTCATAGGCGGAGGAAAAATATTACTGTATCAATATTTTACTATCCCTTAACTCTGTGCTCTCAAGGCTAAGTATAGAAAATCATCATTGATGAAAGATAATGTTCTTTAAAATTAAAAAAGTAAAGGATATAGGTATGTTAAAAGCTGACCAAGATAATGAACTGTGCATGTGTTTATTTACTAATAATATGTGTAATGAGTCTGCTGTGGTTTATAGCTGGATGTTCCCCCAAAGTCTCAGCCATTCAGAGGTGGGGCTTATGGATGGTGACTGGATTATTGGGGTGCTTGCTACCTCTGGTGTGGTATTAGAAAATGGGGTGTGGTCAGAAGAGGCAGGTCAGTGGCTGCATGACCTGGAAGTGTTTGTCTCCTTTCACTAGTTCCTTGCTCCCTGTTTCCTGTGTGCCACAGAGGGGCACGGCTTCCTCCATCAGTCTCTCCCACCACATCGCTTCTCCCTGGAGACCACTGACCATGGCAGGACAGCAACTGTTAAAACATGAGCCAAAATAAACCTGTCCTCTTTTAAGTCATAGGTGTTGGAGATTTTTGTCACACCAGTAAAGGAAATGACTAAAAGAGTACCTCTTTTGTGCCAGACACTGTTCTAAACCCTTCATATGTTTTATGGCATTTAACCTTGGCAATAATCTTAAAAGTAGGTATGATAGCTCCATTTTCATATTGGAAAATAGAGACAAAGAAATGGAAATGACATATCCCATGTCCCAGAATTAGTCGGTAACAGTTAAGATTTGAACTTAGGCAGCCAAATAAAGCCTAAAGAGCTACGGTGCAAATTCAGTTTCCTTTCCCACCTCAGGGGCACATGCAGATGCAAACAGTATTCTACACCTCTATCCCATGATAGGCTCTGTGGCTATTCACTGAACATGGCTACAGAAATCTCATGCTAAGTGAGTTGGGAGCAAAAGGATGAAGTGGGTTCTGTTCCACATAAACACGTCAGAAGCACTCTTTGAAAAAGAAACACTTATGAATTAGATTTAAAAGTAAGTTTAAGTTCATCACCAGAATAGAGCACAGAATGAGCCGAGTGCTGCCTCTTCATAGACGTAGGGACACTGAATCATAGCTCAGAGCTAACCACAGGGAAAATCTAGCTATGGTGTGCGGGTCCTGCACCTTTCTACTCAGCACTGGGCTTTGGCAGGGTGGTTTCTCCAGTGAGCCCAGCCCTCCAGGTTTGCACCTCATGTTGTTCAAACCATGGGGGCTCAGACCCTAGTTCTGACCAGCTGCCCACAGAACAGCATGGCTCTACCGCTTTGCTCACAGGTGGCCACCAACTTACTGGCTCCTGCAGACAGACACAGACACTGAGCTGCATGGAATTTTTTCTTTTTTGTGGTACTGGGATCATAACCCAAAGTTTTTCATGGAGCTACATCCCCATCCCTTTTTTAAATTTAGTTTTTTAAAATTTTGAGACAGGGTATTGCTAAGTCTTTAAATTGACCAGCTGGGGGGCCAACTTGCAATCTTCCTGCGTCAGCCTACCAGAGTACTGGAATTACAGGCTGGACAGTGGATTTGAAAAGCTGATCTTACGTAACTCTTACGCAATAAAAGACTGGTTTGGAAAAGAAAGTTGGGAAATCCAAGTCAGCTGCTGAAAAGCATTTTCATAAATACTAAAACTGTTATTTTCAGAAAATATCCACTTTCTGTCACAAAAAAAATAATTAATGAAAAATACTGTTTTTCTTCCAAACATATTGTGTTATTCTGTTAACAAAAAGCAAAAAATTCTCAAGGATCACTCTTTTCATTAAAATTTTTCAGTCTTTTTTTGTTAGTACCTTTAGAGAATAGTGTTTTCATAAATATTACACACTATGCTCTTAAAACATTTCTTTCCCCCAAGTATACCAACATACTTTTTACTGAAAAGCATCCTGAAATATATTTACCAAAGAATAAAACTTATGCAGAAGTATGTATGGCCTACTGAGTTCTGGAAACAAAAACATCCCTCCTATCTTGCCTTTATTATTCATTATTTATCATCTTATTTAAATAAAAATGAAATTTTTTTCTGCTTTTGAATAAAGTGATGATTTTTTTAAAACAAAGTTAACTATCCAGTTCAAATATTAATGTTTATCTAAACTGATTGTTTTTCCTTATCTTTCTATGCCTTCTAATGAGTAAACTATAAAGTTTAGTGTGTAAATTGGCAATAAATATATTATGAAAATATGTCAAGAGAACAAAAAACAATCAATGCAAGATGGTGCTTTGAGAGTTCTTAGTTTTTCGTTTGTAGAGGCAGTGAGAAAGAGATGTGACAAGTTTTCTTATTTAATTGTTGGCTAAATATTGATGATTAACAAAGAATATAGTTAGATGTTTTAAAATAGAAACAAGAAGCTCAGATTCCAGGTGTTATATTTGTTTTAATTGAATTTATCTATTTAGGGGCTAAATGTAAAGACCGTTTCATTCTTTGCTTAATATTCTAGGAAAAAAATGCTTCCTTTTAAAGGCAGAATCTTAGCAAACAGCAATTCATTCACTTGCAAGCCTAAAAGTGAGTTTTGCTGCAACTGCCACCCACCCAAATACATTATGTCTAGGAAATCCAGAGGCGACGAGGCGATGGCCTTGACGGTGGCTTTTCAAACTGTCTCTGAACTTTCCTGACATGCAGTAATAATGTTGCAGTTCCTAAAAGCTTTCTGTGAAGGTCTATGTACTTTTTTTTTCTTTTTAAAGAAGAACAGATGAATTACTTACATCTTAAAGAGTTGCGCGGTGCCTTGTCCTTCCTCGCGGCAGGCCTCCTCCCGGCAGAAGATCCTTCACCCTGGCTTGACAGCTGATTTAATCTGCAAGCAGGGTGGAATGTGTGGTCTTGCACATGCTGTTCTTTTCCGTTTTCTCAGGGCCGGCGGCCTGACCATTTCCATGGTAACCAGGAGGAAGTGGCTAGCCTACCAGTTTCGTCAACCACACAGCCGGAGAGAACCTGCTGAACATCTTTTCCGGCTCTAAACTGGGTTGTTTCCAGAAAAAAAAAGAAAAAAAAAAAAAAAAAAAAAAAAAACAAAACAAAACAGAAGAGACCGCTGCTGTCTGCTGACCACAAAGGACTGACTCAAATGGAAGAAATTTTACTTTAACAGGAAATTAAATGGATTAAAAGTAGCCTATCGAGACTCCTTGATACTTTTGGTCTCATGACTCCTTCCCCTTTTTCTCCCCTGATGAATTGTTACTTATGCTAAGTGCCTGTGCTAGTGTGAAAGCTGTCCTGTTGTTGTTCCAAAAAGAAAATGGACTCATTTCAACTTCAAAGATGTAGTTCTGTTCTCTCATTTTTAGTTCATTTTTTAAATGTTAAAAGCCACAAAGCCAGTAAGTTTAAAAAAAAAAAATTCTGTATATGTCAGTTTACTTCAGCTGCTGCAACCAACTATTATAAACTGGGTGGCTTAAAAGCACATTTATTTCTCAACAGTTTCCAGGATCATGGCTCCAGCAGATTTGTGGTCTAGGGAGGGCCAGTGTCATAGACAATGCCTCCCAGCTGTGTCCTCACATGGTAGGAAGGAGAGAATTACCACGGTAGGAAGATTAGCGCCTTCTGAAGGCACTAATCCCTTTCCGAAGGACTCCACACTTGTGAGCTAAGCATGGTCCCCAACCTCCCACAGTAGAAATTAGGTTTCACCTTGTGAATTTTGGAAGACACAACCATCAGTCTCTAGCAAAGAGTAAGGGTTTTTTTTTTTTTTGAAATGTGAACCAAGTTACATGGATAAAGGAGATGGAGAAGAGTCTTGCTACCTAAAAACACTAGGAGACTAGACAGCTGATGTACTACTTGGATATGGACCCTCCAATATTCTGTAGAGAAAAGCACCTCTCTAGGGCAATGAGTTCATTCATTCTTCACCGAGCGAAGCTTTACCTCACATGTGTACCCTTCCAGGAGAAAAGTGTCATGGTTCTTATCTTCAAGAAAGTTTTGCAAAGCCATACATTTATGCACAAGATGGGTAAGGCAAGGATCCTGAGAATCTACAGCATGCTTTAGAAACTAGCAGTTAATTGGTAGGATTCTCACCCTAACTATATATGCTGATAACTGTGAACTAAGCAGCTGCACTGAAGACAGCAGTGTGTAATGGTAGGGTCATGCTCGGAATGCCTGCCATTCTGGACTTCTAAATACGTACTGCTTGTCATGACATACCAATTACAGCCATATTGTCTCTCAAGTAAATGTTTGTTTAAAAAAAAAAGGGCAATAAATGAGAACAAGAGAAAGGAAAAAAATGTCACAGGACAGTCCTGCTATAATGCTGTATATAGTTAATTTCTTAATTTCTGTGTAAAATTATGTAATTGTTTATTCATATATTTTCAAATTTTTTTTATTTTTAAAATTTTTGTCTTCATATTCTGCAGGGACTTAAAGTTTAACATACCAGTACTTGATGGAAAATACCTGTTCCATGTTATGCCTAAGATGTTTGATATTCAGACAGATAGTTGGGTTAAACCCAACTGCATATGTTGTAGGGTAAAACTAAGCTTCTCTTCTGGAGGGTTAACAAACTAAGTTTGCAGACCAAAAATCAGAGAAAAAGAAGGGCTGCAAGGACGTCAATATTTTGGCCCTAGCCTTTGAAGGTCAGTGAGGACTCAGTACATAGGAGAACCTACACTGTAACATTATGTAACTCAGTTGTGTCCCAAATTTTCTGATCAAGGAGATTATGGGGCCACAGAGGAATGTGATCAATGATGTAGAGTGTGCCTAAGGAGAGTTGCATAGAGAGAAAACATTCTCTCAGGCTTTCACAGAGAGCAAATTGGTCAAGCAATGGCTGTGACTCATCCACATGGCTGACACAAATGATCTACAGACTTCGATATAGGGCTTCAGGTTAAATCCTGAGAGGATTTGACTGACCTTATCAGATACAAAAGTTGCATTTCTTGTTATATAGGTCTTGCTTTATCTTGGTCTTAACCATCCAGCAGAAAAGTATGAAAACGAAGTATAAAAAGTAAAGCCACATTAATATGCTGAGCTGTAAAAAGCTCAAGTCAACAACTTTGGACATTGCCAGTCTTATGGAAAACCCACTAGTATTATGGACTACTGGACGCTATTGGGAGATTCTGCTGAATTCAAGAACCTACAGTATTTAAATGACAGTGGAATGCCCTTCTCTGACAAAACTAACCAAAAAAGTAGGATAGAAATGAATGACCTTTGTCTGTAAACTCAAAATAGGATAGATATACAGCTCCACTCTCTTAATTCAATGAATAGAGAGGTTTGTTCTAATAGTGTTTGAGACAGGATATCATGTCTGCATCTTGTACAATGAATAACCACTAAGACAACAATATGCTATGTATTAATTACTGAAAATGTGCCAGTAAACAGTTGTGAAACTGTCTCATTGATATTTGTTTCTCAATAAAAGTATTAAAAAAGAGAAAGTTTTATGGCAAAAAGGATGATTATATAAGCTCATTGCAGGAACTGTGTGAAGAGAAGTATAAATCCATCTCATGGATGCCTCCAAGAAGGTGAGGCTGACTTCTGCCAGGGAGAGTGGAGAGATCTTTTGGACAGCAGCATTTGCTGTGAGCCATAAAGGACAGTTAGGACTTAAGTGGGTCAGATATTGAGAAAAAGGACAAAAATGCCTTGTGGAGTGGCTCTGCCCAGGTGGCACTGACACACGTGGTCTTCCAAGTGACCCAGAGGATCAAGGAACTCAAGCAATTAAGGAAATTGCTGGACCAAAGGTTTGGAGATGGGAGAGTCCCACATCTAGTCAGCCGTTCAGGAAGTTAATGAATCATGATCAAGATAAAGGAATTTGAAAACAGAAAGTTTATTCTTGTTACTGTGTAATTTCTCCAGGGTATAAGAAAAGTAAAATATGCACCTTGGTTTAATCACAATTCTGCTAAACTTTTGAATGTTATTTAAACTCAGTTGTGAGCCTCAGTTTTCTTATCTGTAGAGGTGATGACAGTTTGCTAAAAAGTTAAGGTAAAGACCTAGAGAGATAATATAAGTAGACTCATGCTTGAGGATGAGGGATGGGAAAGCTGGCCAGCCACATGCCAAAGTCCTCAAGTTTCTGGAGCAATTTCACTAATGTAACGGTCTGGCATACTCAGCTTTTGTGCCAACACCTTTCCTTCTTGCCTTCCTCTGCTCTAGAGGCTGGGGAATGACAAGAGTGTCTTGCATCTTGGGTTCCAGATTTGATTGAAATGTTATTAATCATTTATGCTTGCTTTGGAACCAAATATTTGGAGAGAAGACCATGAGGCTGATATGGGAACTGAAGCAAGTGGGGAGAGAGCACCATCCTGGCATTGCCTTTTCTGGTAAAGGTCTCAGCAGCAGAAACGTGTCTTCTGACTGAGTTGCCTTCTGGTTGCAGCAGATGTGACAAGAGCCTAGAGCTGTGGGCTCTGGCACTGGCTCCTTATTGGAGAACATAGCCTCTCCATTCAGCAAATTTCTGGTAGCTAAAGCGGCAGCAGCTCCGGAGGTGACCCCATTTCATGGTGACTTCTCAAATTCTTCCAAAAGTCCATTTCTTGAGCCCTCCCAGTGACTCAAGATTGTTTTAAGAAACTCTTAGTTGTTTTCAATTCAGCTAGTTTAGACAATGTTGTGTGCAATGAAGAACCCTAACCAACATATCGGTGACCAGTTCTGGCCAGTAGAAGGTCAGAAGGATTTCTAGTACTGCCTCATTTACTTTTTAATATTATAAATTAACTAAGATTTATGATATAATATAGTTAACATAAATGGGACATGAAGAACACATTCAACAGTGGTAGCTCAAGTAATTATGACTCTTGACTCTGGATTCTGCTGAGAGGGACACAGTGTTGAAGGCAGACCCTGAGAAGGCAGTAACTCTAGGACCGGCCAGATAGCTCGGCAGACTAAAGCACCTTCTTAGGAAAACACAGGGAATAGGGTTCAGTCTCCAGCGTGTTGTGCCAGCCCCACCCCCAGGGTGCACTGAGATGGCAATGAGACTGGATATGGTGGCATGCAGCTGTCATCCCAGCACTTGGGAGGCTGAAAACAGGAGAATCACTACCAAGACCAAGCTATGGAGTGAGACCCTGTAGGCGCTGTACTAAATACATAAAAAGAGGACAATAACTCTGGAGATTTAAGGGCCAAACCGTTGCTGCTAAAATATGGCTGGGACTCTGTGTGACAATGTTAAACATGTACCCCAGGTTTTTTATCTTCCTGCCATTTTAAAGCATTTACTTTGTTTTGTGTGCTGACCAGGTTATATAGCTTAGACTGATTTAGCAAAAACAAGTATTGGGACTACTATTAAAACTACACCTTAGGCTGCCTGTTTCATTCTATTGCAGTCTGAGTAGCAAACAAATGTTTGTTCACCATGTGGTTGAATTCTAGTTTTGTTCTGAATCAAGTTTATTCTCTCTTTCTGTAAATCACAAAAGCAAGGAAGGTCCTTACGGCACATTCAAATTACGACCAGGGTGTTAAGTAAAAGTGAACTCAATACCCACCTCCACTGGGCATGTTGCAGAAGTAATGCCTGCCAAGTCTGCACTGAAGCAAATTTTGCTTTGTTTGCAAATTGTAGCGACTACTTTGTTGTTTATGTTCTAGTTCCCTAAAATCTTTTGTCTAAAGGCCTCAGATTCCATCTCCCACACTTGTTCTGCATATATTCTCATCCACCCACTTAACTACCTACCAATCACTATCAGAATTTTTTTTTATCCCTCACCTACCTACTTTAGTCCTTCTACCAGCCTTTTCTATTGCTATTTCTTCCACCCTGGGCCCTTTGTGAGCCATCCCAGGCCTTCTCTGTCCTACCTATCTGTTCCTTTCTTGGGTGAGAGCAGTGT